GGATGGATGGATGGATGGATGGATGGATGGATGGATGGATGGATGGATGGAGATGATAGAAAGAGAGATGACGGATAGACAGACAGACAGACAGACAGAGAAGATGGATGGGCAGATAAAGATAGATGATAGATAGATGATAGAAACAGAAAGTCTATTATCTGACTATCCTTCACAGCCTAAATTTTCCCCCCAGCGGCATTACCTGTGAAGGGCTCTCTGGCCATAAGATGGAGATTAGGAGGTGGGGAAAGGATCACTTGGTGCAGCTCATTCTGGGAAGTTAAAAAAAAAAACATGAGAAAAACCATAAAAATAGTTCATTCATCCAGAAGCTTGTATGAATGTTGTTGCTCACATTGTCATGGGCCAGGAGGTGATCAAGTTGATCCCATGAGTTCCCTTCCATCTCTTTCTTTCTTAACGCTACTTCTATTAGTACAGGAATCTTCTGCCATCCCCGGAGGCCAGAAGTCAATCTACTAGATTTTCAACCTCCTTGAATGATGAACCTACCATGATCCAGGGGTAGGTCTCCCTGGGGTTATCACCTTCTATGGGAATGCTGGCTGGGGAATTCTGGGAGTCGAAGTCCACGCATCTTAAAGCGTGCTGGCTGGGGAATTCTGGGAGTTGAAGTCCACGCATCTTAGCCAAGTTGAGAAACACTGCTCTACATCAAAGATTGCCTTATGTTGTTTATCATGACCTGGTGACATTTTTCCAGCCGTGCTTGGAAAAATGCTTCCAGCTGTGGTGCAAATCCTAGGTGACCGATCTACTCACCTTGTAGAAACTCTGCAGCCTCTGGAGAACAATTTGGAGCATCTGCAACCTCTGATCCTCCCTGTTTTCATCTCTCCACGGAGAGGGTGGACCTCTCGGGATCAAGTCTCTAGGAAAGAGATCGGTGGAGAATTCACTGGGGATAAAACCTCACATTTCAGTACTTCCTCCTCTTTCTCAGGAACTGGGAACGTCCCCCATGTTCCTCTGCCCAAAAGTGTAGCATGAAAGGCCCCGGATGATCGGACATCACTATATCTGCTCTCTGTTATTCCCTTCTGGCAGAATTCTGTAGATATGCCAGATGCATCGAAATACAGAAACAGATGCATAGTTAAGAGCCTCTAGATTTATCACAACGTAAATGTAGAGATTTGTGCTCTCTCTCTTTAAATGTGTGTATATAACTCACATTTGCTCACCTTGAATTAAAGCAATGTATAGTTTATACCAGGGTTTCCC